CTCCAAACCCACCCTATATTTACTGAGGGACCTCAGGCAGCCCCTTCTATCGGGGTGAGGGCTTCGACCTTGCTAGGGGGCGAGGGGAGGCACCCAGGACAGCCCACAGGCAGCTGTGGTGGGAGTGACCAAGCACTCCTGGCCAGAGCAAAGCCAGCTGGGCCTTCACATCCCTTGCCCACCTCTGCCACGGCCATCTCACACTCTACATGTGGTCCTGGGGCACCCTCTGGTGGCCAATGGGCCAGACTGGAGAGGCGGGGTGTGAGGGGCCAGGAAGGGGTCTGGACACTGTCTCCCACCCCTCCCAGAGCTTAGGATATGACAGGTTCCCCAGCAGGGGGTCCTTGGGGTCTCTTTGGGGAAGGGGGACACAGCAGTATCATCCAGGCTCTGTGCTCCTCGTTACCCTAAGCTTCCCAGGAGCCAGGCTATCAGGATCCCCATTTTACAGACAGAGAAACTGAGGCCCAGAGTGGTTAAGGAGCTGAAAGCATTTGCAGAACATAATCCCGGGAGTGTGGGACCCCAGGAGGCACTCTCTGCCCCCATCATCACCCTGTCCTGCCTGAGGGTGCAGGGACAGTCCTCATGCAGCACCCGTGGTGCTGGCCACATGACCAGTGGGTGGACACTGCACACAGCCAGCCTACCACTGTGCAGCCTTCTCCCATGGGAGCTGTACCTCCAGGATTCCCTGTCCTCTGCGGGACAGCTGTGCTGAGCCTCGGCATCAGCCATATGCTCTTGGGGCAGCTCCTGTTCCCACTTGCTGGGGAAACTGGGGCTTGGCAGGAAACTGATTTGAGGAGCCCTGTCTAATCATGTGCCGGAGGTGACACCAGCTGGCCAGCCCAGGCCCCCAGGCCACCCCAGGCATAGCCCATGGTGGGAATGACAGACTTCCATGGCCTAGCAGCCACCCCCACACAGGGTCCCCCCTCAATACTGAGTGCTGCCTCTCGCTCAGACTGGCCGTGGGGGCCGAGGGGGCCGACCAGGCCTGAGGAGGGTGGCCAGCTCCCGGAGGCCAGCACTGGCTGCCCAGTGCCAGGTGTGCTGGGTGGGAGGAGGAGGAGGAGGGGCACCGGGCTTGCAGGCACACCCCGCGCGGTGGGCAGACAGCTCCACCCGATCCTTGGCAGCAGCCGCACGCCAGGGCACCGGGGAGAAGGCAGGCAGGTAGGGGCCCTCACGCCGCCATCAGCTCCCAGGTGAGGAGCAGGAGGGGGGAACTGCCCACCTCCTCCCAGGCAGGAAAGGCAGGTGGGCAGGGGTGCAGCGGGAACCAGGACCATGTGGCTCCGGCACATCCTGCCTCTTGCCTCGTTTCCTTGTCCCTAGCAAGGGGAGAATGCCCCCTTCCCAGTCTGTTCACAGTCCCACTGCGCGTGGGGGGATGCCCGGGGTTTGGGGGGGCGGTCTGGGCAGGAGGGATGCCCCCACAGGCTCTGGATCTGAGACTTGAGGGACAGCATGTGGCCAAGCAGCCTGGAAAGGCAGGTGGGGTGAGGGAGGCAGTGGGTGGGAGCCGAGTCACTGCTGCATCCTCTCAACTGCCCCAGTCCACGTCCTCCACACCCGGCCGGGGACACTGGGCGTCCTCCCTGGGGGTATAAGGGGGCACAGTGCAGACTTCATGCCTGTGGCCTGTAGGGACCTTCCCAGCACTTTCTTGCTCCTGCTCGTTTTCTGCATCTGATGAACAGGGGAGCTGAGGGACCTTCCCAAAGTCACACAGCTGGGGTGCGGGGAGCTGGGCTGGGACCCCAGGGCTGGCCACCTGGCTCTGCCCCACGCTAGGACCTTCCCATGCTGGGGGAGCCACGTCCAGCTCACGCTGCCTCTGTGACGGCCTCTGGCCAGCCCCTGAGCGCCAAGGCTGCCCTGGCCCGTGTCTGCTTTAGGTTTTCCTCCTGGAAGTTCTGGGATAGGATTCTGGCCAGCGTCTGGACCCCCGGCTGCCCCCAGCTCCCCCACCACTCCATGAACACACAGGGAGTGGGCATTAAAGACCTGGACACCTGCTCATGCAAATCCTGGCCCCTTTGCATACCCTCCGTCGTGGCGGCCCCATTTGCCTGGCACCTGGCACCTGCCCACGTCCCCCTGTCCATCCCCTGGGAGGGCTTGGCCACAGGAAGGAGTGGGGTGGTGGCTGGCCTCAGCGGCTGCTCAGCTACCCAGCCCGGCTTCCAGGGGCCCAAGGCCCGTCCCCCTTCCCCCAAGGAAAGAGGCCACGTGGGTCCGTGGGCCTGGCCTGTGACCTGCCCCCACCTCTGCCCTGCCTCTGCTCCTCACAGGGGGACTTCAACAGGGGGGAGGCACTGCTGAGTCCCAGGTGGGAGAGCACTCTCTGGGGGCCTTGGAAGAGAGAGGGGTTGCAGGGGCCAGCGGAGCCCCATAGGACCTCTCCCAAGGCAGAGGCCACCCCACACATTCCCCACCAGTGATTAAGGGGAGAAAAGCAGGGTCCCCATCCCTGGCCTGAGGTTCACAGGGAAGGTGAGGATGTCCACATCGTCCCACGCAGCCCATCGCCCTAGCTGAGGGTCGTGGCTAGGGCTCAGGCCCCCCACACCCTAAACCTCCCACACGCACCCCAGGCAGGTGGACATGTCCGGCTGTGCACCCCTGCTGCAGGGCACACATCCAGATGTGGCTAGGGATGACCTTACCAGGCCACCAGGCATGACAAGACCCTGGAGGGAGTGGGAGCCAGCCCCGGAAGGACCACCAGGCCTGCAGACCACCCCTTGCCCCAGCTCGGCAAGCCCACTCCCTACCTCACCGCCTGCACTGCAGGGAAGAGCAACCCCCAAACAGTGGGATAGCATCCACCTAAACCTCGGAACGTGACCTTGTTTGGAAAGAGGGTCTTTGCAGACACAAGTGAAGATGGGCCATGGCACAGTAGGGGGGCCCTGATTCAGTGACTGGTCCTTGTGAGGAGAGGACAGAGAAGAGACAGTGTAAGGGAAACCGCATGATGACCGAGTCAGAGACGGGAGCGGCGTGACCAGCAGCGGCAGGAGGGACCGTCCCCGGGGCTTCTGAGGCAGCACGGCCCAGCCACGCCTTGTTTTCGGACTTGTGGCCTCCAGAACCGTGAGAGCCCAGATTTCTGCTGTTTTAAGCCCCTCGGTTTGTGGACCTCTGTGACGGCAGCTGGGGACACAGAGACACTGCCACGTCTGTTCCCCCGCTGGTTCCCCAGGGCTGGTCCTCAGACACCAGCTCCCAGAGCTGGAAACCGCCGAGCCATGTCTGCCGGCTGGGGAGGGCCTTGTGCAAATCCCGCCCGTCGGGCCCGCCCTGGAGCGGGAAGTGGGGGCGGTTTGTCCCCGGCGGGCGCTGGCGCTGGTGGGCCAGGAAGCCGAGGCCCGGGGTGGGGACACCTGGCCGCCAGCCCCGCACGCCTGCCCGCCCTGCCGCCCCTGGGTCCCGGGGCTGCTGTAACGAGGGACCAGAAACTGGGTCCCTGCAAACAGCGGGCCTCGCTCTCACGCTTCTGGAGGACGAGGTTCTGGTGCAGGGGTCGCAGGGCCGGTCTCCCCGCCACGGCTCTAGGGCACTCCTGGGTCCGTGGCCACATCTCTCTCCCCTCGTCTCCACTTCATCCTCCCTCTGAGTGTGTCTGTCTCTGTGTCCAAATGTCCCCTTTTTATAAGGACACCAGTTGTGGGGTGAAGGGCTCACCCTACCCAGTGTGGCCTCGTCTTAACTTCTCTATTAACTACATCTGCAAAGACCCCATGTCCAAAGAAGAGGGCAGTCGGGGTGCCAGGGGTTGGGACTGGACATATCTTCAGGGGGGGACAGAGCCCCTGCCCCCATGTCCCCCGCTGTGTACACAGTGCACCCTCCCTGAGAAGCGGAGGGTTTTACAAAAGGATCCGTTCTCCTCTCATGAGGGCCCTGGTGGGCTCTGCCCAGGACGCCTCGGGCAGCCTCTGGGTGTGAGAGGGCAGGGCCATGGCAGCCGCTGAGAGCTGAGAAATAGCTGGGCCTGGCCGGGAGAGCAGGAGCTTCAGGACAGCCCCAGGTTGGCAGGATGGCAGGGAGCCCGAGTGGCCCCGGGGACACCGCTGCCCAGTGGCCTGTGTTCTCCCACCTGGGCCGGGCACCTGGTTCCAGGAAGTGGAGGAGCGGGCGAGCTCCCCCTGAGTTTTCAGAGGGAGGCAGGACATGGGCCTGGGCCGTGGTTCGCCAAGGCTGGGGCTGGGCGATGGGCCAGGGAGGTGCTGGGGGCCTGCAGGGACCCTGCTCCGTGTCACAAGGGCCAGTCTCCGGCCTGCTGGACCTCAGGTCCCTGCCCTGCAGCAGGGGCTAAGGTGACCGACCTTGCCGGGTGGTTGGTGACAGTGCAGGCCCAGCTAGGGTGAGGATGGGGCCCGGCAGCCCCTCTCCCCGCAGGTGCTGGGCACAGTGGGAAGGGCCGCGGGGGGCGCTGGCTCGGCGCTGCTGCTGTGTGAGCTGGGCAAGGCCTCCTCGGGCCCCTGAACCTTCCTCAGCATCTCACCCGCCCGCCCGGGCACACCCAGGGGGTCCCCATCCCTGTCCTGGGGCAACAGGGTTGTGGGGCAGGTGGGCGGTGGGACCGGAAGGCTGAGAGTCTTCTGCTAAGTCTTTTGGGGATTCCAGGACACCCCTGCAAGACCCTCCAAAGAAGTGTCGACAGGTGTGCTGGCCCGAGGGGCCTGGGGTCAGGTGAGTAGCGGGCCCAGGAGGACTGTGACCACCCTCCCCTGGGAAGGAGCTTGATGGGGCTGCGCTGGGGCGGGAGAGGGAGCCGTAATGAGGGAGGGGGCAGGCGGGGGCCACTGGAGGGAAGGTCACTGGGGTAGAGACGACCTTGTGGTGGTCCCCAAACCTCCACTGGCATGTTGTCTAGGGAGAGGGGCTCCCCTTGTGCAGGCAGCCCCAGCCCCTGGAAGGGAGGGAGGTGGGGATTGACCCTGGTCCTCAGGGCTTGGCCGTGTCCCCACAGAGAAGCCGCCATGCAGGATACACAGGGCTCCCGCCCTGGCAGCACCAGGGACGTTGGAGGTGGGCAGGGGCAGGACCTGTGCCAGGGTGAGGTCGACTTTGGAGGGTCTGGGAAGAAGCCAGGCAAGGTAGGGGCAGCCCCCGTGCCCCAGTGATGCCAACACGCCCTGGGACCCCTCAGCCCCCTCACCCCCCAGTCCACTCCCTCAAGGGCCACTTTCTAGCCTCCAGATGGGCAGAATTTTGGAGCCGGAGTGCTTCAGGCCACCCCCTCCCACCCCTGTAATAACCGGGACCCCTGAGCTCCACCTGGGAGGCACTGGGGTCACGTGCATCTAGGACCCCTCCTCACTGTGAGGGAGCCAAGCCCAGAGAGGGATCCGGACTGCCCAGGTCACACAGCAGGTCAAGGCAGGGCTGGCCCTGCCCCAGAAAGTGTCTTGGGGCCTCTCTCCTCCTGCTGCTGTGCCCCCATTTCCCTGGTGCCCAGCATCCCCTGCCCTCTGTGTCCAGTGCTCTGTGCCTGAGGCCTCCCCACCCCGCATTTCCCTGGTGCCCTGAGCCTGCGGCCACTTGCCCTGCAGTTTGTGAAGGTGCCGAGCGGCGTGGCGCCCTCCGTGCTCTTTGACCTGCTGCTCACCGAGTGGCACCTGCCGGCCCCCAACCTGGTGGTGTCCCTGGCGGGTGAGGAGCGGCCTTTCGCCGTGAAGTCCTGGCTGCGAGATGTACTGCGCAAGGGGCTGGTGAAGGCAGCTCAGAGCACAGGTGAGCCCCCACTCGGCCATGAGTCATGGGCCAGCCCCCCACACCTGCAGGCTCCCGCGGCTGTCACTTGCTGCCATCTCCCGTGACCACCCTCCGTCCCTCCGCAGGGCCAACCAGGCATGCAGGGAAGCTGGGTCCCAGCCCGCCCTGTGAGCAGAGGCCTGGACCTTCCTTAGAGCCGCCCCCTCCAGCCACGGGGCCCGTGGGCCTCAGGGACATGCCCCGTTGCCACTGGCCTGTGCCTGATGCACCGAGGTGCATACGGGGTGGGCCCCAGCACCCCTGCGCCTCCCTTGGGGGCAATCTGGCTGGTCCATCATTGAGGTCATAATGAAATTACTGAACTTTATTTTGAGGGGGGCTCAGCCAGCAGAAAACTCAGTTGAGGGATTTGGGGTTTCTGAATTTCTTACTGCAGAAATGATTGTAGCATAGAAAAAAAAATCTGTGAACCAGACATGGGCTGAGGGCTTTGTAATTTGGAAAAATATTTCCAGATTCTGGTCCAGCACAGGCAACTGGACAGAGCTGTGACCTGCATTGTCCAGGACAGAGCTCAGGAGGGAGCTGGCCCCCATGCTCAAGCTCTACAGGGCAGGGGGCGAGGTGCTGCCCCTTCGCCAGGCCTGGGGACCTGCATTCTGGGCCCAGCCAGTCTCAAGCTGCTGAGAGGCCTTGGGCAAGGGCCTTGCTCTCCCTGGGCCTCAGTTTCCCTGCTGGTGCCTGCAGGCACTCCCTAGCTCTCATACCGTTGTTCCCAGGTCATTGGCTACTGATTGGGCCGAGGGGGTCAGGGCAGTCCACTGGACCTGGGGGAGGCCAGCTGGGGAGGCTCCGGGGGAAACATGGCACAGCCAGCCCCTCCCCCAGCCCTCCCCCATCCTGCAGGCGCCTGGATCCTGACCAGCGCCCTCCGCGTGGGCCTGGCCCGGCACGTCGGGCAGGCTGTGCGCGACCACTCGCTGGCCAGCACGTCCACCAAGGTCCGCGTGGTTGCCATCGGCATGGCCTCGCTGGGCCGCATCCTGCACCGCCGGCTGCTGGACGATGCCCTGGTGAGCAACTGGCTGGCAGCAGTGCAGCTGCTGGGGGAAGGGGTAATGTGCAGCCCAGCCCCTCGGCTCAGGGACTCCCACCTCAGGGGCAGCAACAGGGCAGTGAGGCGGGGGCTCTGCAGGATGGAGACGGGCAGGTGGTGGAGGAGGAGTGGGGAGGAAGCCGGGGAGGAGGGGAGGAGCGGAGGAGCCAGGTCGCGGCCAGCAGGTGGCACCATCGCTCAGGGAATGACCCGCGCAGACCCGCCTGGTGGGGACCTGGACGGTCTGCTCTTAAGGGCCAGGCCCAGCGTGGCCAGTACCCCCAGCTCTGTGCAGCCCTGGGCAAGTGGCTTCTGCCCCCGTCCCCGTTCACGTCCCCCACCCCAGGGGATCTGCCTACAGCATGGCCAAGTAGAGGCCCAGGCGGCCCCCAGAGTCTGGACTCCAGCCCAGAAGAGGCTAGAAGGAGGGGTTTCCTGCAGTTCTTTCAAGGGAGGCCCCCCTGGCTCCAGCAGCCCAGCCCTCCCTCCATCTGAAGCGTGGGGAAACTAAGGCCAGGGCCTAAGCCCTGCCTGGGCCTCACGGTGTGGTGTGCATGGCATGGCGGGGAGTGTCCCACAGTGGGGCCCATCCCAAGCTGCCTCCTGAGGGCCCTGCCTCATCTCCCCGCACGGGCACAGGAGGACATCCCCGTCTACTACCCCGCGGACAACGGCGGCAGCCAGGGCCCCCTCTGCTCCCTGGACAACAATCTCTCCCACTTCATCCTGGTGGAGCTGGGACCCCCTGGGAAGGGGGACGGGCTGACCGATCTGCGGCTGGGGCTGGAGAAGCACATCTCAGAGCAGAGGACTGGCTATGGGGGTGAGGCCTGCTCCAGGTGCCCAGGGAGCTGCCAGTGGCTGCCTGCCTTGGCACCAGGGGTTACGGGGACTTGGCATGCGGGCAGGGGAAAGACCACCAGGGAGGGCGGGGAAGAGCCTTCCAGGCAGGAGTCACCCAGCGATCCTGAGCATTGAGACCTGGGCCACACAGGCGCCTGGGGCAGGAGCAGCCACCGGGTGGTGGAAGGGGCACAGCTGGGCAGAGTAGCCCAGCCAGGCAGTCACGTTCCTGCCAGACAGCAAAGTAGCTGCAGCTCTGTTTTCACGGGGTCACCCCTGGCTGGAAGATCTGGCTGTGGGCTTGGGGCTCTGAGAAGCAAAGCAAGATCTGGAAGTTGCGAGAGGCCCAGTTCCCGCCACTGGCCGTGAGGTACGCTGCCACCAGGGGGCAGTGTTGCCAGGGAAATGGGAGCGAAAGGGGGTTCACAAAAGTAGTGTGTAGATAATACTTATAAACAAAAATTATAATTGTTTATAATAGTTATGAACTACATAAAATATTTACAAACAAAAAATGTTCCTCGGCAAGGCCAACCGAGCACTCTTTAAAAATGAAAACACAAAGTCGGGCCGGCCCGTGGCTCACTCGGTAGAGTGCGGTGCTGATAACACCAAGGCCACGTGTTCGGATCCCACATAGGGATGGCCGGTTGGCTCACTGCCTGAGCGTGGTGCTGACAACACCAAGTCAAGGGTTAAGATCCCCTTGCCGGTCATCTTTTTAAAAAAAAGAAAACACAAAGTCTACATAAAATATTTACAAACAAAAAAGGGGGCTCGGCAAGGCCAACCGAGCACTCTTTAAAAATGAAAACACAAAGTCGGGCCGGCCCGTGGCTCACTCGGTAGAGTGCGGTGCTGATAACACCAAGGCCACGTGTTCGGATCCCACATAGGGATGGCCGGTTGGCTCACTGCCTGAGCGTGGTGCTGACAACACCAAGTCAAGGGTTAAGATCCCCTTGCCGGTCATCTTTTTAAAAAAAAGAAAACACAAAGTGGCGTCTGACCACCAGCGCATGAGGGACGTCCAGCTCTGCTGTGCAGGGTCCCAGCTGGCCCCATGTGGCCAACCTTGGTTTATCCTCAAGATCAACAGGGCTCACCATTCGAAGGCAGGGCCCCGCCTCGGAGCCGGGTTCTAAGACTTCTCCCGGCAGTTTGCCGCAGCTCACAGGGAAGACCGGATGTGGTCGGGGCCTCTGGGGTTTCCTCTCTGAGTCTCAGTTCCCACTTCCATTTGGGAGAGAAACCTAGAAAACGTGCCTTCTTTACCTTCCTCTGCTCAGTGCATCTCCTGTGACCCTGCAGCCCCATCCACAGAGAGTCCAGCGTGGGCGCTAGAACCCACTGGGAGGCGCCATTTCATTTTATTTGTTACTTTGTATTTTTTTTCTTTTTGAAAAAATGTATTTATTTATTCATTATTATTTTAATATTACTTTTTATTTAGGTAGTCATAGTCCAGCTCTAGCCATAAAGCGACCACATTGCACAGAGCAGACATAGCATGGGAATCCTCGTCCCCAAGCACAGGGGCTGGTGATAAATGGCTCCTGATGGGCAGCCTGGAGCCCGCACTTTACTAGAAAAAGCCTCTTGAGCACCATTTGCCAAGAAAATGTGGCAACGTCAGAGTCTGAGGTCTAGGCGGTCACCTCATGAGGAGGGTCCCCGGGCTGGTCCTCCCTGGCTGGCCCTGAGTGTCTGAAGAGACTTCACGGGCTGCTCCATCTCCAGGCACTGGAAGCATCGAGATCCCTGTCCTTTGCCTGCTGGTCAATGGCGACCCCAGCATCCTAGAGGTAGGGCCAGGGGAGGGAGGCAGGGGCTGGCTGGAGCCTCCCAGAAGAGTGTAGCGGGTCCCCAGGCTACCCCCCGGGACAGGGCAGGGTGGGATGGCGGGACCTCTGGCCTGTGCATCCAGGATGCCGCCCAGGCTGACTGGGGGTCTGCTCTCCCTCCCTGCCCACCTCAGAGGATTTCCAGGGCCATGGAGCAGGCATCCCCGTGGCTGATCCTGGCAGGCTCAGGGGGCGTCGCCGACGTGCTTGCTGCCCTGGTGACCCAGCCCCACCTCCTGGTGCCCCAGGTGGCTGAGAAGCAGTTTAAAGAGAAGTTCCCCAATGAGCCCTTCTCCTGGGAGGATATCGTGCACTGGACCACGCTGGTATGCACCGCCCAGTGACCCCAGGGTGGGGCTGACCCCTGCAGGTCCTCGGGAAACTCCCACATGCAGTCTGCCCTCCCCTTCCCACCCTGTGCCGACCCTGCCCCTCTTGCTGCTGAGGCCCACATGCTCTTGCTTCAGATCCTCAAGGGGCAAGGGTACCTGGGCAGTCAGCCCTTTGGTCTGTGGGTGGTCCTCCGCCTGTCCCGGTGGGTGGCGGGTGCACAGGGCTGCCCGCTGGCCTCCACTCATGGGGACTCTGTTGGGCTCTGTGCCTGCATCCGTGCTGGCCCGCGGCCCTCCCTGTGCCTGAGCCCTGCATGGGAGCCCCTCAGGGCCTTCGCTCTGGTGCCCGCAGCTGCAGAACATTGCCTCTCACCCGCACCTGCTCACCGTGCACGACTTCGAGCAGGAGGGCTCCGAGGAGCTGGACACGGTCATCCTCAAGGCGCTGGTGAAAGGTGAGGGCCGGGCCGGCTGGGCACCACCTGGTGGCTTCTGCTCTCCCAGCTGCTTGGGCTGTGACAGCCTGGCCAGTAGTCAGGGGGACACCCACCTGTCCCTTCCCAGGTGGGGAAGATGACACACAAATTCGTGAAGCGTTCTGTGTTTGGCAAGTTTTACGACATATATTTCTTACTACAACTGAGAAACATGTTGAAGTCTTCAATGCAGAGGTGGTCAGTGTATTCACAGGCTGGGCGCATCAGCACACCCTAGTTCCAGAACATTCCATCACCCCCCAAAAGACCCCACATCACTCAGCAGCCACTCCCACTTTCCCCAGCCCCCGGCAACCACCAGCCCACTGTCTGTCTCTGCAGATTTGCCTGTTGCGGGCGTTTCGTATAAATGGAGTCCCATGATCACACAAAGCCTTTGGTGTCTGGCTTCTTCACAAGCATAGTTCTCAAGGCTCACTGGCGCTGTGGCACGTGTCAGTGCTTCGTTCCTTTTTTAAGGCTGATAGTACTCTGTTGTGTGGCCAGACATGTTCATGTGCCTCTCACCAGCTGACAGAAATGTCTGACTGTCATCCAACGTGCTTTCTGAGAGGCTGGCCACTCACAGCTGACACAGGCCCACCGCAGGGCGGGGCAGTGCTGGGTGAGGCTCAGGGACACACCTGAGTGAGGGGCCTTCAGAAAGGGTGTCTGCACTGCAGGCTTAGCAACCCCCCTCCCAGGACAATGAGGACCCCAGAGCCCCCTAGGCGGGGTCCCCTCATGGCTTCCTGTGAGTCACAGTTTGGTCCCAACAGCCTGTGAGAGGCACCGTGATGCCCAGTTCACGGGTACAGAGACTAAAGCCCAGAGAGCTTAGTTCTCAGGTCTGGTGACCATGGCCCCAGAGGCTGTGCTCAGCTCAGGCTCTGAAGCCCTCGCCCCAGTGACCCTTCAGGGCAAGTCGTGTCCAAAGGCCCTCCCCAGTGGAGGGATCACGATTGTGTCAAGACTCCTTCCCCAGTCGTCCATGGGAAGGGGTTGTGGACCCTCAGTGCTAGGAAGTGGGCTCCAGGGAAGGACGTGGGATCCCCTTCATTACCGCCGAGGGTGGCAACCCCACATTGGCTCCTGGGACTCTTACGGAGTCTTGTGCCTCTCGCTGTTATTCAGAGGCAGCAAAGTTCCAGCTTCCACATACCTGGAAGGCCCGCCTGCAGGGACCCTGTGCCCCGGCTTGGTGGGCCCCTGCTTCCGCCCTCACTGGCTGTGCCCACTCTGCCCACAGCCTGCAAGAGCCACAGCCAAGAGGCACAGGACTACCTGGATGAGCTCAAGCTGGCCATGGCCTGGGACCGCGTGGACATCGCCAAGAGCGAGATCTTCAATGGGGACGTGGAGTGGAAGGTGCCGCCCACCGTCCCGCTGGTCACCCTGATTCTGGCAACACAAGGCAGGGCCGTGCTGAGGGCCTGGGGCAGGCGGTGCTGGGCCCGCTGCAGCCGAGGCGGGGCTGGGGTGAGATGAGCCACAGCAGCGCCCAGGCCCCAGAGTTCACCCCCGGCGTCACCAGCCTGTGTGGACCCTTCCCGTCCCAGGTGCCTGGAGCCAGTGCGCTCTGCCTGCCCGAGACCACCTGGCCCCAGGGCACAGGCAGAGGCGCCCCAGGGAGCAGGGCTCTGTGTGGCTTGGCCCTGGGCAGAGGGTCCCAGGCCTTTCTCCCTGGGTTCCCTCCTCTTGTCCCTTTCTCCGCTCTTTCCTTCTCGGGGTCCCTTTCTCTGCCAGCTCCTGCTCACGGTCCCGTCCTCCCCTCCCTCACGCGTGCCCTCGTGGCACCCAGTCCTGTGACCTGGAGGAGGCCATGATGGACGCCCTGGTGAGCAACAAGCCCGAGTTTGTGCGCCTCTTCGTGGACAACGGTGCCGACGTGGCCGACTTCCTGACGTTCGGGCGGCTGCAGCAGCTCTACCGCTCCGTGCCCCGCAAGAGCCTGCTCTTCGGCCTGCTGCAGCGCAAGCACGAGGACGGCCGGCTCACGCTCGCCGGCCTGGGCGCCCAGCAGCCCCGGGAGCCACCGGCCGGGCCACCCGCCTTCTCCCTGCACGAGGTCTCTCGCGTGCTCAAGGACTTCCTGCAGGATGCCTGCCGCGGCCTCTACCAGGACAGCCGGGCCGTGGGCCGGAGGAAGGAGGTGAGCGTGGGCCGGGTGGGGGCTGGGCGGGGGCCGGGCAGGGGCCACGGCTGGAGGCCCACGTCTGTGTCCCCCAGGAGAGGGGGCCGGCCAGGCAGCCCATGGGCCAGAAGTGGCAGCTGGACCTTAACCAGAAGAGCGAGAACCCCTGGAGGGACCTGTTCCTGTGGGCCGTGCTGCAGAACCGCCACGAGATGGCCACATACTTCTGGGCCATGGTGAGCCGTGGCTACAGGCCGCCCCGGACCCCTCTGAGCCTGGGGAGAGAGGGCCCGGGGCTGCCCTTGCGATCCCCTGGTGGGGGTGGGGTGAGGTGGGCCGTCCTCCTGAGACCCCATCTCCTAGGGCCAGGAAGGTGTGGCAGCCGCTCTGGCTGCTTGCAAAATCCTCAAAGAGATGTCCTACCTGGAGACGGAGGCCCGGGTGGCCCGCACCATGCACGAGGCCAAGTACGAGCAGTTGGCCCTGGGTGAGTGACCAACTCGGTGGCCAGGCCGGTGCTGGGGAAAGAAGGTGATGACGGGGCCAGACGAGGGCCTGGGCGATCACAATGGACCCCTTTATAGAAAAGGACAGAGTGACAGCTCCTCCCAGGGTGGAGATGGGCCCTAAAATCCTAAATGGGAGGGGCAACAGGGACACAGGGAAGAAAAGATGTCCCCACACCCCCGGGACACACTGGGCCCTGCCATAGCCAGGGGGAGATTGGGGTGACGGAGGCTCCTATGGTCCTGATGGGGGAGGAAAAGGGCCAGAGAAGGACAGAGGTTGGGGAAGGGCCCGGAGCAGGAGGCCTGGCTGCCCCTGGGAGGTGGACGCAGGGCATGTCCCGCAGGTTCCGCAGAGCCAGCTCTGGCAGAGGAGGGGGGTGGGCTGGGTGGTGGGCATTGGCGTCCGTCCCAGCGCCAGGCCCCACAGACCTCTTCTCCGAGTGCTATAGCGACAACGAGGACCGTGCCTTCGCCCTCCTGGTGCGCCGGAACCGCTGCTGGAGTAGGACCACCTGTCTGCACCTGGCCACCGAGGCCGACACCAAGGCCTTCTTTGCCCATGATGGTGTGCAGGTGAGCGGCCAGTGGGCGAGGCGGGCAGACAGGGGCCCAGGCCACCCTCCGACCCCCGAGCCGGGGCCGCCCCCTTACTGAGGGTTCACAGCAGCAACAGAATCCACACTTGTGTGATTAGCTCCTCCCGCTCACCTTCCCAGCACGGGGGAGGGCTGCGGGCACCTCTTGGGCTGGCCTTGAACAGTGGTGTGTCTGCTGGCACCCAGGGGACGGCATGGCTGGGGCAGGGTATGGCACAGGCAAAGGCGTGGAGATGGGAGGCCAGCAGGTGTGCCTGTATTCCAGGCCTTCCTGACCAAGATCTGGTGGGGGGACATGGCCACGGGCACGCCTGTCCTGCGGCTGCTGGGCGCTTTCCTCTGCCCTGCCCTGGTCTACACCAACCTCATCAAGTTCAGGTAGGTCAGGCCATGCCCGCCTGCCTGGTGGGGCAGGCTTGTCAGAGCTGCCAGGAGGGCCCTGTCTGGAGCAGGTGGCGGCTCGTCGGCCTGTCCCCTCTCATCCAGCACCCCTGTGGGCCCTTCCACCTGCAGCCTCTCCATCCCACCGGGCTCTTCGATCTTCTCAGCGGGTGCACACTTTCCTTGTGGGCCTGGTGCGCGGGGCCAAGCGGGGTGGCCTCTGGGTGCCCACCTCAAGGGCCCTGAGCTTTCCGCTGTGCTCACAGAGACGAGGCCCCACTGAGGACGGGCCTGGAGGACCTGCAGGAGCTGGACAGCCTGGACATGGAGAGGAGCCTGCTGTACAGCCCCGGCGGCCGGTCAGGGGCCCGGGGTGGGGCCGGGCAGGACAGAGGGTCCAGCGGGCAGCGGCCGGGAAGCCGGACTCTGGTGGGCAGAGGCGAGGCTCCCGTTGGGTGACCGCCTCATGGCTGTGGCCTCCTTTATGGCACAGGGTGGAGGAGCTGGCGGAGGTGCGGAGAGCTCCAGCCGACAGAGGCCCACGGGTGGCCTTCCTGCTCACACGCTGGCGGCGGTTCTGGGGTGCGCCTGTGACCGTGTTCCTGGGGAACGTGGTCATGTACTTTGCCTTCCTATTCCTGTTCACCTGCGTCCTGCTGGTGGACTTCAGGCCACCTCCCCAGGGGCCGTCGGGACCCGAGGTCACCCTCTACTTCTGGGTCTTCACACTAGTGCTGGAGGAAATCCGGCAGGTCAGTGGCGAGGCCACCCTGCATCCCCCCACCTCTGGCTTCAGGCGGGTCCTGCCTCTCGGGTGTAGAACAGGACAGGGTGGGGCCTCCTGTCTTCCCGACTCACCTGTGCTTCCACACTGGCCACAGGTGGAGCGTGACTGACCAGCGTCACCCTGGTCAGATCACAGACTGAGTCCAGGCCCTGGATATAAATTGATCCTGGGCCCTGCAAGCAGAGCCCTGACCCCTAGGTCCAGAGTGACTTCAGCTTTTATCTCCACACTTAGCCCTGAGTATCTTCAATTGACCTCCAATCCTCGTCATGGACTGGGGCCTAGTCACAGTCAGACCCTGATCCCCATGGCAGGCTGAGCCCTGACCCCGGTGGGCCCCAGCCTGGTCCTGGCAGGTCTGTCCCCAACAGGTGGGCCTGGGCAGCTGTCAGCAGTCTGTCTGCCCCTCTGCCAGGGCTTCTTCACGGATGAGGACACACACCTGGCAAAGAAGTTCGCACTGTACGTGGAGGACAGCTGGAACAAGTGTGACATGCTGGCCATCTTCCTGTTTGTCATTGGTGTCACCTGCAGGTCTGTGGGGCCAGGGCCTAGCAGCCTCGGGCGGGCTCCCAGATGAAACTGCCCAGGGCCTCTGAGGTCCTGGCTTTGCCCTGGCACCTGCCCACTGGCCACTGTGCTGTGTGTCCTTGGAAAGCCTCTTCCCCTCTCTGGGCACCAGCAGCCCTGGCCAGCCTGCCGTCCGTCCTCCAGGATGCTGCCCTCGGCGTTTGAGGCTGGCCGCACAGTCCTCGCCATCGACTTCATGGTGTTCACCCTCCGGCTCATCCACATCTTTGCAATCCATAAGCAGCTGGGCCCCAAGATCATCATCGTGGAGCGGATGGTGAGCCCCAGCCTGGGACCCCCCGAGACCCCCCGACCCTAGGTGGATGGCGGCCCCTGCACCTGGGCTGCAGCCAGGCCCCTGCTGAGGCCCGCCTGCCCCGCCCGTGCAGATGAAGGACGTCTTCTTCTTCCTCTTCTTCCTGAGCGTGTGGCTCGTGGCCTACGGCGTGACCACCCAGGCCCTGCTGCACCCCCACGACGGCCGCCTGGAGTGGATCTTCCGCCGCGTGCTCTACCGGCCGTACCTGCAGATCTTCGGGCAGATCCCACTGGAGGAGATTGATGGTTCGCGCACCGCCGGGCGGGGTGGAGTGGGGCGAGACTCCCCTGCCCAGCGTGACGTGGAACTCCAGGCGCAGCTGAATAGAGTCCAGTTTTCACAAGCCCCAGACATATGGCTAGCCAGAGGGGCCTGGAGGTGGCTGAGATGGGGAGGACCTTGAGGCCAGATCCCCATGCCCTGCACATTCCCACAGGGCCAGGCCCAGAACCAGGGGCAGTGGCAGCTCCCGTCACAGTGTGGGCTGGGGACTCAGACACAGAAGACCACGAGGCGGCTGGGGCTGGTCTCCCCAAGCAGGGGGGCAAGCCCTGCTTGGGGGTGGTCTGTGGGGGGATGGGCTGGCACTGTGGGTGCAGAGTGGGACCATTCAGGAGCCCGTAACATCGCCTAGAGTCTGGGCCCCTCCAGCCAACCCCACGCCCCCTGGCCTCTGCCCTCCCCCAGGCCCTGCCAGACCTAGGTCTTCCCGCTGCCCACCAGAGGCCCCTCGCTGGCCTGTGGGAAAGGCTCCCTGCTGCTTCTCTGGGGGCCCAATGTGTGGGCCACCTGTTATTCTCAGGTGTGTGTGGCCTGTCTGGGGCTGGGAGTGTCCCCAGCCAGTCCCTGTTCCTGGCTGGGCTTTCTCACCACAGTGGGAGCAGTGCAGGCTGGCAGAGCCCCTTGGCCCTAGGGGTCTTGGTGGTGATGGGTGGAAGGGAAGCCCTGGGGTGAGAAGGGGACCTGGGCAGACCCCTGGGGTGGCTGGGATTCAGGAAGGAGGAGCAGGGACCCTCAGGGAAAGTGGGCCAAAGTGAGGGGCTTGGGGCGCCAGCCCCATCAGCACCCCTGGAGTGCTGCAGCGGAGGGGCTGTGGGCTCAGGCTGGTGTCAGGAGGCAGGGCGCCCAGGCCGTGGGGGAAGCCCGACCCGAGCTGCTGCCCAGGCCTGACCCCTTCCTCCGACCTTCCGTGGAAGAGGCAGCTAATGAGGCTGGGCAGCTGCTCACAGTGTGCGATAAATATTTGTCAACCGAGGACGGCGAGACTAGGGCTGCACCGTCATGGAAATCGCTCCTAATTGGGGTGTTCTGTGTGGCTCATTTCCTGGCGCTGTTTTCTTAGTCCCCCTCCCCCAGTGATTTTCAGTGTTTTCTCATCCACAGGCATTAGTTTTCCAGGCCATTAGTGTAACCAGACCCTGTGGGCCCTCTGCCCCTCCCCCACCCTCACTGTATGGCCCCTGACTCTGCCATCCCACAGGGCCCCTCAGGCAGGAGGGGGCGAGGTGGCGCCTCCAGCCAGGGTGGGGTTGGGGGTTTCCTGTTCCCAGGGGCCACTTCTCAGACTTGCCAGCCCTAGCCAGTGGTCACAGCCCCCTCCTCCCTGGGAGCCCATGTCCCTTGGGGAGGACAGGGGGACTGCAGGCTCCCCCAGGGCCCCCAAGTCTGAGGCTGCCTCAGACAGGTGCTCAGTGCCACTGTGGCCTCTGCAGGCAGAGTCCTGAGATGGAAAGCCCATAGTCAGGACCAGTGCCCTTGCACGAGACCCTTCCCCTCTCTGGGCCTCAGCCTCTTGTCCAGGGACTAGGCAAGGTCTGGACCTGTTGTGGGTTTAACCCCTGGCCATGCACTGAGTCCGTTATGCTACTGGACAGAGGGTTATTCATCAACACTCTCCTGGCTGAGAGGGCAACTGAGGCTCCAGCAGCTAGCCCACAGCTACTCCATGGCCTGTGGGTCCCCCAGGGGCCCAGAGTGGCCTCCCTGCCCCTCCCTCTGTGCACGTGCCAAGCGGGGAGCCCGGGGCTGAGCTGTGAGCACAAGCTGGTTCTCCAGGGCCCCAGACCCCAGGGACAATTTAATTTTCAGCCCGGCCTGGTGGCGCCTGCTCAAATCACAGGGGAGGGGGCAGGGGTCTCATTACCTCGAGCTGCTTTTATCAGACAGATTTATGGCTTCACAAACACGCTTTCCAGGCCAGGCCCGGCGCGACCCAGCTCTCCGGGGCGCCAGGAGGGGAGTGGAGGGTCATGAATCAGATTCATGGGCTGAGGGGCTGCCAGGGCAGCCAGAGGAGGGGCAAGAGGGGGCCTGGTGTGCTCTGACTGCTGCACCCCCAGCACACAAACACTCCATAACTCACAAGTGGGCCGACTGTCGCAATAACTCACTTGGGGGGGAACGAGGCAGGACCGCACCCAGAGAGGGAGACACAGACACGTGGAAACGGGCACCTGGCGCCTGATGCGCACGCACAGAGGCAGGGAACTGGGTATGCACAGGGGACTGCGAGGGACAGAGGCCCCCAAACCCCACCCCAGGATGGCCTGGAGTCATTCACAGCATAGAGACCTGGAGATGCAGGCACAGAAACAGCGGAACGTGCATGTGTGTGCACCCCTGTGCTCACACATGCACACACACATGCACACGCACACGCAGACACATGCAGACACAGGCACCAGCGCACAGCCTGAGGAGGAAGGAGATGGAGCCATGAGCTCCCTCCTAGATGAGGGAGCCACCGCCTCCTGCAACTCACCCGACCTCCATTTATCCTCCCTCCTCCTGCCCTGCAGGCTGGGTTGGGGAGGGGGGCCCAGGGCTGCGCCCTGCAGGGTAGAAACAGGCAGTGTGGACTTGGCTGTGGGCTGGAGCTGTGATCCAAGGATCCCTTAAGGGTACCCCTGCCCAGGCCATGGGAACTCAGCCTGCAAGACCCCGGACTACCATGCAGAGAACATTCTTCAGCCCGGGACTGGCCCGGAGAGGGTCCGTGTCCTTAGAGCCTGCAGTGGCCCCTGTCCAGGGTCTTCTGGCTCCATATGCTTTGGAAGGGCTGTAGACGTTCTCCCAGACTCGGGGCCTGTGACAGCCACTAGCGCTGTAAAGGCTCTGAGATGTCCTGCAGTGAGGACACCATCTCTCCTTCCTAGGCTGCCTCTCCTCAAACCTGCTGCGCATCGAAGCCTTATTTTGGGGGTGGGTTGGTGGAGGTGTCAATCCACGCAACAACCAGCAGAAACCTGAGTTCCCCACCTCCCACCCCCAACATGGTCTTAGCTTTGCCTCTGGGACTGTTGCCCTGGCTGTGACCCCGGCCCCTGGGTAGAAACCCAGCAGAGGTAGGAGATGCGGGCCAGCGCTGGGTTGACCACCTGTCTGGTCTGGAAGAACTAGGGCTTCTCATGAAGGGATTTCAGTGCTAAAACCCAGACTATCCCAGGTAAAGCAGTACAGTGGGTCTCCTAACTAGTACCCTGTCCCCTGGTGGCCCAGGATCAAGCTCTCTGGTCTGGAGGCGGGTGTCCCTGGCCCTGGCACTCAGTGCGCTCACTCGCCTTTCAGAAGCCCGTGTGAACTGCTCTGTCCACCCACTGCTGCTGCGGGACTCGGCCTCCTGCCCCAACCTCTATGCCAACTGGCTCGTCATCCTCCTGCTGGTCACCTTCCTGCTGGTCACCAACGTGCTGCTCATGAACCTGCTCATTGCCATGTTCAGGTGACCCCCTCACCCTTCGCTGCAGCATATGGGGGTCGCTCTGGAGGGGGAGCTGCTTCTCCCCCAACCACCATTCCCCCAGCAGGGGAGAGGCCTGGATGTGGAGAGTCATTCCCAAATACGGGCTTCTATTCCAGCCTCTCCTGGGTCCTCTGGACTGGTCCTAGCAGCAGAAGGCACCATCCAGGAGCTGGCGTGTCCAGAACCCTGGTCTTGTCTAAGAGGGCAGAGGGGGAACCCTGGACGAGTGGACCCCCTCTAGACACACCCCAGAGATAGTCACAGAAGGGGTGCTGGGCCTCGGTTTCTGAAAGAGTTCCCCCCATGGCTTCTCAAACAGCCAAGCCAGGTTCCTGGCAGCAGGTGGGGGATGGAGGGGATGCGTCCCCGGAGACGGTGCCAGGAAGACAGGTGGGCTGAGGGCCCGACCGTGCGTCCCCACAGCTACACATTCCAGGTGGTGCAGGGCAACGCTGACATGTTCTGGAAGTTCCAACGCTACAACCTGATTGTGGAGTACCACGAGCGTCCTGCCCTGGCCCCGCCCTTCATCCTGCTCAGCCACCTGAGCCTGGTGCTCAAGAGGGTCTTCAGGAGGGAGGCGGGGCGCAAACGAGAGCGTCTGGGTAAGGCCGCAGGCTGCGGAGGGCCCGGGCTGCCCCGGACTGTGTGAGGCATTGGAAGGGCTGGGGCGACGTGCCAGGAGCGCAAGCTGGGAGAGTCCTGGGCCCCTCCTCAGCCCCCTGGGCCCCTCCTCTGTCCTCTAGGGTCCCTCAGGTGGGCTCTGTCCTGGCTGGCTGGCCAGTGTTGAGCCTGCCTCCTGAGTCCTGGAGGTCCTTGCACAAGGCCTGTCTTTCCTCCTCCATCTTGTGCCCTGCCAGCTCAGGCCCCCCGGGACAGGACTCCTTCGCTGGCTGCTTGCTCTGTTGCGCTTGCCTTCAGGGTCCCCCCACCACACCCCAAGTCCAGTCCTGGGCTCTGCCCCTGAGGCCCAGGAGGCTCTAGCAGAGCTGCCTCCGGCCTTCCCAGAGAGAGACTTGCCGGATCCCCTGGACCAAAAGATCGTCACCTGGGAGACGGTTCAGAAAGAGAATTTCCTGAGCAGCGTGGAGAAGAGGAGGAAGGGCGGTGAGGGGGAGGTGCTGCGGAAGACCGCCCACAGGTATGGGTGGCAAGGGCCCGCAGGACCCCAGAGACCAGGCGACGGGAGTGCAGACCTGGAATGGGAGGGCAGGCTGGCATGGGGGGCTAAGACCACGATGACGCCCACGCCCACGGGCCTGCCCACAAATGTAGGACTGGCCCTGCCCTGGGGAGATGGGCCCAGGTGCATGTCTGGCAGTTTGTCCTGAGCGGTGGGGCTGGTGCTGGCCTTGGTCTACAGGGTGCTGTGAGAGGGCACAGAACTGATAACCTGCCTACCTGGGGAGAGCCTGGCCCAGTGGAGGAATCGGGGTGTAGGGACCTCTATCATTGTCATTGGCAGGAAGTCAGGCTATCGTAAAGCTGGGTGTGGCCTGCTGGTGCCAGTGACAGAGGATTCCTGCCCTGGGGAGATGGGCCCAGGTGCATGTCTGGCAGTTTGTCCTGAGCGGTGGGGCTGGCGCTGGCCTTGGTCTACAGGGTGCTGTGAGAGGGCACAGAACTGATAACCTGCCTACCTGGGGAGAGCCTGGCCCAGTGGGGGAATCGGGGTGTAGGGACCTCTATCATTGTCACTGGCAGGAAGTCAGGCTATCGTAAAGCTGGGTGTGGCCTGCTGGTGCCAGTGACAGAGGATCTGAGCTGGGGAAACTGAGGCTGAGAGAGGCAGGGACATGGCCTCCTGCCCCTGGGCAGGGCCCTGCCATGGACTTGCCTGCCCTGCAGGAAGGGAATGTGAGCCAGTAAGCATGGCGTCCTCCATGCTGGGGTCCCCAGAGTGGGACTGGCCTTCCTCCTCTCCAGATCCCAAGTGGCTGGCCCCCAGCCCTTGCTTCAGGGGCCCTGTTACTGACTGCCTGTTCATGGGAACAGTCCCCACTGCGAGGGTGCATCAGCGCTCTGTGCCTGTACACCAGGCTGGGCCCTGGTAAGTTCTGTGTGCCACCAGCCCTGGATCTAGGGACCAGGGAAAAGAGCAGGAAGGATAAGGGCCAAAGCACCCAGACTCGGGCCCCCAGAGAGGCCTGAGGGGTAGCGGGAGATAATGGGGGGCTCCCCATGCGCACTGCCATGTGGGTGCCAGCGCCTGTGGGCCACCGCCTGCTTCTGCAGAGTGGACTTCATTGCCCAGTACCTCGGGGGGCTGAGAGAGCAAGACAAGCGGATCAGGCATCTGGAGTCGCAGGCAAGAGAGCTGGCCAGGCACACGTCTGCCTCCGGGAGCCCTGCCCCACCCTGCCTCATCCCTGCCCCAACACTCCGACCCAGGCAGACAGAGCGGGGCTGGGTGGGCCCGGGCCAGGGGCCAGTTGGCAACGGTCCTGACCCCACCCCAGTCACCTGAGAGACCTCATGTCCACCCCAGGGCACATCCTAGAGACCCACAGAGGGTCCCACATCCAGTCCCTCACTGTCCCCTCCCACACCCCACACTGCAACCTCACCCTCCCTGTCCTTTCAGTTGCAGTCCCCAGGGAGAGGCATCACGGGGCAGCAGGGCCCTGCCCTGTCTCCTGCTGCCCTGAGACCTCTGGCCTTGGCCCTGGGGTTTCCTGGGACACTCTTCCCTTTTACAGATCAACTACTGCACGGTGCTCCTGTCCTCCATAGCAGACACACTGGCCCAGGGCAGCGTCCGCTGGAGTAAGCGTGTGTTTGAGGAGCGTGGGGTAGGGTGGGCAGGGGCAGTCCACCCAACAGCCAGCTGGTCTGAGGCAGGCAGCAGGGCCGTCAGGTTGTACTGGCTACTGAGCTGTCGCCACCGGTCCTGGGAGGTCTCTGATGGCTCTGGCTGGCCACAGCTCTTTGGGATGGTGTACGAGACCTCTGATGGAGCCCCCTGCCTCGGCCACTCACTCCTGAGGCTCTGCCCGGTGCTGGGGAGGCCTGGTTTGCTCTGGGCTCCCCAACCTTCCCTGGCTGCCTGTGGGGACCCACTCTGAGGGCCACCATGTCCCGGCCCTTGCCTCCAAGCCAGTTACCTTGTCCCTTCCTGGCCTGTGCCAGCTGGGTGCCCAACAGCTGAGGATGGTCCTTCTTTCCCACCAGGCTCTCGGAACTGTGCTGGTGGGAGCCGGCAGCCCCCTGTTGACCATGGAGTGGGCCCTGGCAGCAGGGAGCAGCCAGAGGCTGGCCAGCCACCCTTGGGCCCCTGAGCTGCTTGGCCTGCCACGCAAGGCCCTTAGCGGACCATCCTAGGCCCTGCAGACACACCAAACCTCCACACACCAAACCTCTCACCTGCAGTGAGAAGTGACTCTTGTAGCCTTGTCACAAACCACCTCTTCCTGGACACCTGCCCCCATGTAAAGGAACCACTCCTGGTCCCATCTGGCACCTTCTTGGAACCCCAGGGAGCACAGCAGCACTGTGGGGTGGTCTCCCCTTTGAGCAGAGCTCCTCAGCAGGAAACGTGTGTGCCCTTCCCTGTCCCCATCTGGAACGTGGCCAGCCTGGACCAGGACAACAAGTGTTGGCCAAACAGCATGAAACAGAGGCACCTCCTGTCCAGGCAGGGCTGCTGCTTCTGGCCTGGACCTGTCCCTCCCCCCACCTGTGTTGCCTGATAAGAGACTAATCCTTTTTTGCAAATGCTAGTGGTTAGAATTTCTGCCCTTTGAGACCTAATGGTCCTTCAGAAGTCAGCTGATCAGCTCCCAGAGAGCAAGGCCAGGAGTCCCCCCATGACTGGCACAGCCAGCGGTGGTGTGGCCACACTTGGCAGCGGCCCAGGACCCAGCCCCATCAGGCACTGGATGTGGCTTTATTTTCAGTGGAGCGTGGAGAACACCATACTCTGCCTGGCCCAGGCCAAACTGGACCCAGGGAGAGGGCTCACCTGCCTGTGGGGAGGGGGGTGTCTGGGCTCCTGTGCTCCTCCTGCCACCCACCAAGCTGCATGACCAGCCAGGTTAGTCCCTCCTTTCCTTGGGGACCTCTAGCTCCCTGGGGTATGGGCAGCAGAGGCAGGGCCAGGGCCAGGCCCCGGGCACCCTGCAGCACAGCAGGCTGCTGACCCCGTAGTGGCCGTTATGGGAGACGTGCCCACTATAGCCTGCCTTCCTGGAACCCTTGGGAGACTGTCCTCGTTGCCCATGGCCCACCTTGGGCAGGACTGGTGCCAAATGGCCCCACCATTGGCCCCTGCACACAAGCCAGCAGTCCTAGGACACTGGCTGGGTCAGAACTGAGGGGTGAGCCTAGCCAGGGCTGGGACCCATCTCACTGCCTCCCCCTCGTCCCCCACTCTGTGGAATGCACCGGGTTGGACACAGCAGGTGTGAGCACACCCCTGGAGGACACCAGGCCTCTGCCTCTTGCTCTGTCTCCTCCGTCCCTCTGGGTAGATCTGCTGGTGACGACTGCAGGCATCAAGTGACAACCCTCAAAGCAGCCCAGCACTAGGCTGGGAGGGCTGTGTGTGGAAACAGGGTGGCTGAGTGAGGCTGGAGAAAGCAGAGAATTTTGGTCCCCTGGCTGCAGAGGACTGCTGCTAGCAGAGCCGCTGGGGTGAGCGGGCCCAGAAAAAGACACAAGACCTGAGGAACACCCGTAACCTTTATTGACCCCTCACAGGCTCCTCGGGCTGCCCCACAGAGGCTGCAGCAAGGCCTCTTCTCCTCCAGAAATGGCCAATGCACAGAGCTGCAGCCAGAGCTGCTGGCGCCACCTACAGGCAGGCTGCCTGCTTCCTTCCCAAGGGGACAGGATGCTCCCCTCTACCCCAGCTGGGGAGTGGCCCTGGCCACCCCTTTGATGCCAGCCCCACAGATGGCATCATCTGTGGTCAGGCCGGGCCATCTCCCTTCTCAGACCTCATACCCGGGCCCTCAGGGCTGCTGCCCTTGCTCCGGAAGTGGTCTCTACTTCGCTTCTTACTGCCGTGGAAGCCTACAGTCTCCACCACGGGGGGTCCTGGTGGGGAACAACTATGGGTCCCCACCTCCTGCAGGCCCCCACAGGGGCTGCTCCACTCCTCAACATCTGGGCTCCCAGGTCCGGCCAAGTGGGCCAGCTCCACAGGGCCCTCACCCCTGGCAGTGCCCAGGTTCCTCAGGGCGCCCCTGCCTGGCTCTCCCCTTTTCCTCAAGGCCCTCTTCCTCTCGGGTCTGGCCTCGCTGGCTCGGGCTGGTTTGGTGAAGATGACTCTTCCCTCCCCGCAGCTGGAGGGATCCTGGTTGAAGGATGGAACATAGTCAGTGTGGGTGGCCAGGTTCCGGGAGCCCAGGAACGCCAGGGCAGTGGCCTGATTACTCTGCTCAGTGACCGCGGCCACGTCTTTCAGACTGTACTTGGTCCAGCGCTCAGGGTGTGCCACGTAGTCAGGAACAGGGGGCACCCTCGGCAGGGCAGGGCGGCAATGGCCCCTGCCCAGGCCCTCCATTGGAGGTTGGCTTGAGGGCGACACGGGCTGCCTGAAGCCTCCACAGTCACTCATGCTGGTTTGGGCTGGAGCCCGCCTGGCCACCCCCTCCAGGCAGTCAAATATGTCGTGGCTACGCTGGGAGAAGGTGGAGCTCATGCCTCTAAGGTGGAACGGCTGCACTGTGGCTGTGGGGAGGCTCGTGGGCAGCAAGGGGGGCTCATCGGAGCCCAAGTCCTGCTGGATCTCCCCAGGCAGCCCCTCTGGGGATAGTGCTTCCAACTCCACATCACCAGGCAAACTGAGGTCGGAGTCTGAGTCACTGATGGAGAGTGTGTCAGAAGGCAGGGTGTCGTACTCTGTCCCTTGCTTGGCCTCCAGGCCCGAGGAGAGCTTACTTGGTTCTGCCTCAGCCATATGTCCCCAAGGCCACGCCACACCTAGACCAAAACAGCCCAGGAAGTTTGTTTCTGAGAAGACGCAGTGTTTAGAACAAGCCCCTCCTGCAAAACAGGATCAGCAGGAAAGAACGTGTCCTACGAAGGAACGGGGTCCCCCCCGCACCCCCACCCCCAAAAGCCCTCCTCTCACCTCCGTCGTCTGCTGGGTGCCTGTGTTGACACTGGAGTGCTGGCTGGACAGCCAGGTGGGCGTAGTCCTGGTGAAGGTCCTCGGGGGTGTGGCGGTCTCTTCCACTAGTGCCCCAGGTTCAGCTGCTAAACAGTACCTAGGTGAGGATTGTGAGGAGAGAGTCAACCATCAGACCAGAACTCAAATACGCAAAGAGGTGCTGGGATCCAAGTAACCTGAGGGAGCAAAACCTGAATTTACAGAGCCCCAGACACAGGCCAGGAACATGGGCAGACTTTTGACCCATTACCTCCCTTAATTCCAACAATCTGCTCTGTCCACTCTGTCCAGGTAGGCTTAGAGAGACTAAGTGGCCTGCTCGAGGATTCTGGCAGTCAGCAGCCAGAGCCTGGATGCAGGGCTGGGAGCAGCCTCTGCTGCTCTCTACCCATCTCAGACCAGCAGGGTCGTTACGAACTGCTTACTGCGTATGGCATGACCTGAGAACTCCACAAAGACTGGGCACCTTCCTGGTCCCTGGGGAGGTTTGCTCCTGTTTGCTGGGAGATCCCTGGGAGCTCCAGAGGGGTATGCACCCAAGCCCTTGGCTTCTGAGAGTCAAGCTCTTAGGTGTCAGCAATCATCTGGAGCAGGCTTGCTGGCAGAGGCAAGCCCCCACAGCTCCCGGAGCAACCTCCGGTGGCGTTTCTCCTGTAGGTCACACTCAACTACCCCCACCTTCTCCAGCCGCGCAGAGAAGTGCTGCCAACTCCCGTTTGGCGGTCGAGTGTGACTGGGTGCCTTGGAGTCCGTGTCTCCGGGCTCACAAGACAGCCCAGCGCCACCCTTCTGCACTGTCCTTGGCCTGTCCGTCCACCAATTCCTCCTTTCCTCGCCCAGGGTGCACCCCTGTCTCGTGCGCTCAACGAAGATGGGGTCAGGCGGACCAGGAGGGGCTCTGAGTGTCCTCTACCAGGCCAAACACGGGCGACATCGCGATTCCTTTGGGGCGTGGCGCTCCCCAGTGAAGGAACCACCCTGGGAGAGGAAGGGGACACGCAGCACAGCCCTGGGGTCTGCTTTAGAGCCGGCAGGGCCCGAGGAGGGAAATAACTTGCCCACGTCACAGGGTACGTCGCAAGCAAAGCGGGAGTTCCAAGCGACCCCGCTGCCTGGGTCTCACTCCCGCCATCGGCACCAGCGGGCGCCACCGCGACCCACAGCCACAGCCCAACTGGAGCGGCGCCCGCGGGGGACATGGGATCGGGCCCCACGGGAAGGACTCCGGGAACGGCAGAAGGAGCCCAGGCTGAGGGGCGGACGTCCCGGTCGCGGGGCCGGGGCCGCGGCTCCCTCCGGTGGTTTCCTCACTCCCGCCGGCGCCTCTCCCAGGCCCTGCAGGCTCTCCGTGTCGGGAACCAGCGAATGGCCTCGGGTCTGGGTCTCCGGAACCCAGCCAGGCGGGACGGGTTCCCAGGGCCAGGCCACAAGGGGCGGGGCACAGCATTACGTAGGGGTCTCCGGCTCCGGCCCTCCCTCGCCATAAACCTACCGGATCCCCTCGTCCGGCCGTCTCCATCTTGTCGGTGCCGTCTGCGCGTGCGCCGCGCTCAGCCCTCTGGGAAGCCGAGTCCTGCGCCTGCCGAGCGCCGTAGCTGCCATGCCGGGAAAATTACATCTCCCACAAGGCACTGGGCCGCGGCTTCCAAAGCCTGTCGGAACTCGCGGCCTTGTGCGCATGCGCCCACCTTTCTTCCCCGGAACCTCCAGTTCCCCGCGCTTGGGGCAGGTTCCGGAGCAGCCCCGGACATGGCGGCACTCCGTCGAGAACAGAGCCCGGAACTGACGAACGAGAGGAGGAAGAGGAGGAGTCAGGCCGCGACTCCCAGAGTGCTCGAGGACAAACGGCCGGCAGCGCAGGTCTCCCAGGGCCTTGGTGCCCCCTGCCGGAAGTCGCGAGGACGGCAGCCACCTCGAGCAGGAAGTGCGTCATCGCGCACGGTGGGCGCGGAGCCGTTCCCGGGCACTTCCGGTCCCGGCCGGAAGCGGAGGTTGTTGTTCGTACCGTGTTCCAGCAGCCAGCATCCGGGGGCGGGGCACCCTCGCCTGGCGGGGGACGCCGACCGCTGGTCCCTTCCCGCGCTGACGACGGGCCCAAGGGCCCCGTGGGGAAGCAGGGCCGGTCTTTCCGCGCGCCGGTCCATCCGGGCGGCGCAGGGGCGCGCAGACCGGCAGCCACTCGTGGCAGCGGCCTGTAGCTCAGCCTGCCAGCGCGGGTAGCAGATCAGCCTCGGCCTGAAACGGAGCGCGAGGCCCCGGGTTCTGCCCCGACGGGCCACGTCTGCCTTGGCCACCAGCCCTAGGGTGGCGCCACACGTTGCCCCTTCTTTATGGGGGGATCTTTGTCCCCCACAAACTCAAGGTGCCCCCGTTCCCCTGCCTGCCAGACAGCGACCACACGCCGGCTGGCTCACCCTCCTCAGGGTCTGCTGTCCCGGCGCTCGCTGGAGCCCGGGATTCAAGGACCTCTTGGGGCCCCACCCAGAGACACTGCCGCGCACTTCTGGGCTTCTTTATTCTTAAGACTGCCCCTCCCGCCCCAGGGCCCACCAGGAACCGCAGCCCATCAGACCCCGAGTTTGTCCTTTTCTGCGTCACATTGCAGCTTCCAGAGGGCCATGCAGGAGGTGACACCCAAGTCGCTGGTGTCACCAGCCTTGGCCAGGATGTCCCTGGGGCCTTGCAGGACAGGGGGAAGCAGAGATGAGGGGGCTCCTTGGACCATTGTGTTTGCCCAAACAATCCACCCAGGCACAGAGGGTGGAGAGCAGCAAGAGGGGGCCTGCCGAGACCCTGTAACCCACCCACAACACAAGGCCGAAACTGGCCTGCAAGGAAGCTGCTGGGAGCCTCAACATGAATCCCAGCCAGGCCCATGTTTCCTCGAGGGTCAATGAAATGTGCCAGCATCCTGGACTAGGAAAGCAGCCTGACTCAGCAAGCTGGGGGGCAGATAGGAGAGTCTAGGCAGAGCCCATTGGTTGTAAGAGCTCAGACAAAAGGAAAAGATCCAGTGAGGGCCTAGGAGGCTGCTTGGCCTCAGGGCCTCAATCCACCATGGTGGGCTTGGTGGGCTCCCCAAGTGGAGGCTGAGGTCTTCCCCTCCAAACACTCTGAGACGTGGCTTAGGCCTTGGGTCACCCAGCTCCTCGATGGAACATATATGGGCACAGAAGAGATCCTCAGACACTTGGGAGGGGCAGTGTATCTATTCTTTACTGTGCTGTCTGTCACAAGTAAGGGGGATCTTGCAGCCTCCCCCCGCCCCCCACCCCAGGCACACCTTGTATGGCTGCAGGCCCCTCCTGGAAACCAACCATCAGTGTGTGCCCTGGGGGCAAGGTGGGAGTGAAGTGGAGGCAGCTGTAGGCGGCAGAGCCCAACCAAGGCGCCCTCACCACATGGGGTGTTCCCCAGGGCTCCTGCCAGCCCACCAGGCAGGCAGCCTCTCTTGGCCTGACTCACCCTGGGCCTGGCAAAGTTCACAGAGCTGAGACCCTCCTGCACCAGGCTCCCACGCCCCTCCAGTTGCTCCCTGGGTCTCGGATGCTGCCAGCACAGGAAGGGGTCAGACAGTCCTGTTAGCATGCCTGATTTTCCTTCTTTATTAAATGACTGTTTCGAGATGTAATTACAATTGAAAGTGACATGTTAGAAAGGACAGGTGCATTGAAGGCATAAGAGTGCTCATAGACCTGGCTCTAGAAACCAGGGCAGGAAGGGAACAGGGGTTAAAAAGGTGAGAGCCGTGCAGCCCACAGGACGGGCGGGGCAGGCAGACACAGCCCCCCCAACTCAGCCAAGCTGAGCCTCTGGGTGAGTGGCCCCCAGGAGAGGTCTGGCTGGGCAGGCAGGGCTCCCCAAGGGGCCCCAGAAGCAGAGGGACTCCTGCCCTATGGTCCCCAAGGCCTGGGCCGAGCTCTACTCACACACACGCCACCTACATGTGACGTTAGCCCCGAAAAGGTAACAGGAAAGTTCAGAACAAAAACAAAACCTCAAAAGTAAAAAGGCTAAGTGTAGCAGAGTAATACCGGAAATGTTATATATACACAGGCGGTGACCGGCCCCTCAGAAGCGTCCGGGTCGCTCTGGGGTCACTGCAGGGGTTCCTGCGGCTGGAGCTGCAGGCAGCCTCAGTACACAGAGCTGTTCCGGATGCCACAGCACAGCACCATGCTTAGGATCATCTCGAAGATCTGTGGGGAGGTGACAGACGGTGCAGTCAGCACCCAGCAGCCTGTGGGAGGAGGAGCCCCCTGAGCAGAGGCCCTGCCACTCACGATGACAGCTCACCATGATCACAGCAACGACGATGGCTGCGATGCCAATGAGGTACAGCTTCCCAGAGAAGAGGTCGTCGATCTTCTGGTGGCAGTCCTCCTGCAGGGCGTGGCCAGCAGGCAGACAGGGGGCTGGCCTCAGCTCTCAGCCCCCTCTTATCACACAGCAACCCATGGTCATTACGGAAAGACCATGGAGGGGGCTCAGGAAGGTGCTACCCACCTCAGCAGAGGCAGGGGCAGTGGCTAGGCTTCTGCCTCGGTTTTTATCACCCACAGGACGTACAGCCCGTGCCCGTTACCGCTGAGAGGTCACGATTATTGTTACCACTAGTGCCCTAAAGTATCATGGGCATGCATCTCAGAGACAGACATTCGACGAGGCCTTGGTGGGCGATTTCTGCAGAGTGCTGCAGACCCCGGGATGCACCACCAGCCGTGGGTGCTAACCCGGGCGGTTGGGGTCCTTGCACCACTAGCAGTGCGAGGGGAGGTGTGCGGCCTGCGTGAGCTTTCAGCTCCCGGGACTGCCACCTTCTCTACCTGGAACACGTGGCACAGGGCCAAGGTCAGCCTCACCCCTTCTCTCCAGAACTGGGCCACAGTACCGCACGGTGTGGCGGCTTCCCTGCCAATGCCAGCCAGGGAACTGTGCAGCCTGCCCTGCCCCTAGGACCCACCCAGGGGAACGGGGACACGGGGAGACCTGCCCACAGCTGTGCACCTTGAAGAAGTTGCTGATGATGTTGCTGCCGGAAGGACACAGGCTGTTCTTCAGCAATGATGTGGTCAGTGCGGACAGCGTGCTGGAGCCACAGCAGTTGAGCTGCAGAGACCGAGGGCGTGAAGTCAGCCCCACGCACACAGGGAAGACGATGGCTCAGAGCTCCGGGGCCAGACTTCCTCCCTGCACAGGGATCCCCTGCACCCCAGGTGGCCTGCCCCACCAGACTCCCACCTGGGGAACAGAAAGTCACTGAGGAGACCATCTGGCCAGGCCCTGAGCACCTAGAGGTCCTAAGGGCACATCCTGCTCCTGAGGTCTGGGCTGAGGCAGGGCTCACCCATGAACACAGACACCCCCACCCCCGGCCACCCCACGCACCGTCTCATGGAAGGTTTTCACCACAGCCTTGGCATTGCTGGCGTCGTCATCCACCACGGCCTGCTGCAAAGCCTGGTCGTAGAACTGCTTCACATCCTTGGCGATCTGGGAGAGAGGCAAATCACACGCAAGCAGGGACCATCCCCCCATAGCTCTCCCAGGGAAGGTGTGCTTCTAGGACAGCCTCCGGAGGTGTACTCCCAGCTGCCCCGAGAGGCCTGGCCAAGCACTCGGCCCTGATACCACATCTCCATAAAGCCTCCCAAGAACTTCCTATTAGGTGGGCCCCAGGAGGAGCCCAGGGAGCACCCTGCAGACTGTGGGTAAGACCGACTGCCACCCGCGAGCTGAACAGAGGGCGCCCCTCCATCCCCTTGAGGCCCCGCTTGGGCTCAGGCTCACCTGGTCCTTGTTGACAAAGCCCCAAATGCCGGCGGCCACCTCACAGGCAAAGAGGATCACGAGGCAGGTGAAGAACTGGGATCCAAGCAGGGCCCAGAGGAGGGGGCAGAGAAGGAGGGAGTCAGCCTGTGGGCAGGGGCCCAGACCTGCACGGGCAGCGCGGGCCTCGCTGTCCGCAGAGAACAGCACCCAAGTGACCAACAGGCGTGTGTCTGTGTGTGTGTGGGTGGATGTGAGGGGTGTATCTGCCCCCCATATCCCAACCAGAATGAGCCTAAGACTCGGCCCAGCAAAGAGGCGGCACTGCACCACACCCTGCTGGAGCGGGAAGGACAAGATCGGTGGGGGGGTCAGCAGGTCGGCACGTTCAGGATGGCTGCAGACCCCCAGGGAGCCGTGTGCTGCAGTGGGCCCTGCTGACTCTGACCCCGCCCTCCCCACCCCCTCTCACCACCCTACCATGAGAAGGGGGTCAGAGGGTATGTCTCAGTTTCCCCCACTAGAGGCACAGGCACAGGATCAGCACAGCTAGGCTCAGCATTCTGTCAGTGGGCGGCATGACAATCGGGGCTGAGACTCGCTCCCTACTGTGTTTGTGGCTTTTTTTTTTTTAAAGAAAGAAAGACAAAAGGCTACTTAGGAACTAGACACGATGGAGATCGACCCCGGTGGGATTTAATTTAAGAACCAAACAGGAAAAACAGAGGGCTGACATTCTGGGGAAAGACATGGAGGCCTGAGTCCTCGTCCAGGCTGGCTGGGCAAGGGGGGGCATCCAAGTGCCACCTTGGAGGCCTGCTGGGTGGAACCCACACTGTGTCCACTGGAGTTCCTGGTCCTGCTGCCCCCTACCCCGAGTCTGTTCTGTGGCCCCTGCCCAACTCAGTGAACAGGACACAGCTCCTTGCCCCTGGCCCCCAACCTTACCGTCCCCAGCAGGCACTGGGACTCCTGGATGGCCCCGTAGCAGCCCAGGAAGCCGACGAACATCATCACAGCACCCACAGCAATGAGAATGTAGATGCCTTTGCAGGGGACAGAGGGACACCTGATAAGCCCACTCAAGACCCCTCCCAGCCACGCACACACTACCGCACAGAACTCTGCAAGGAAGACCTGGGGACGCTGAGCGCCATGGGGCCGAACAGTGAGGAGCCAAACAGAAAGGGGCCCTGCAGCCTGTGGCTTGGCCTGGCCATGTGAGTTCCCCTCTCTGTGCCTTGGTTTCCTCTTCCATGACGTGGGAGGGACACTGATGATGCAAGGTACCTAATAAGTTCTCAGAGAACATGGCCCACCACTCTCAACCTGCGCTGCTCCCAAAAGCCTCCAGGGCTCGGCGTGGGAGGCAGAGAAAGACCACCCCATCTTAGTGTGGGGAGTGACATGTCAGAAGCTGCATGGTGGGCTCAGCACTTGGCCTGGGGGCGGGGGACAGGCTACTCCTGTTGGTGTGTGATCCAGGAGTGGGGTGGAGGGCCTCGCAGGCACTGGTGCCCGCCACACGGCAGCCCACTTCACTGCCCCTGATTTGGGGGGGGCGGGGGGGTCAGCATTTGAACCTGGCTGCTCTACCTGGCTGCTGGCGGGGGTCAGGGGCTCTAATGGCTTCCAGGGCCCCAGCCCTGAAGGGTGGAACCTGCCACATGAGGTGGCCGGTCCTGCCAAAAGGGTGGGTGGCAGCAGTGCAGAGTGATGGGGACAGCTGAAGGAGGGCATGCAGGGCTCTGTGTACCTTCCCCACCTGGCCTGTACCCACCAGAGTGGGCAGCAGGCTCCTGGGAGGCAGAAAGGGCCACCAAAGGGCAGGGGAGCACTGGGAGCCTAAGGGGTGTCCAGCCTGGCCCTGCTGCCCTTTCCGGTGTCCACGGCCCACTCAGGCCGGGCCATGTGCCCCTTGGGAAACGCTGTCTGCATCTCTCCAGGGCCACCCCTCATCCCTCAGCAGACTGCGGCCCATCCCCCAGTTGCCACGGCAACACTGAAGGCAGCCCAAGCCTCCCTGCAGAGATCCAGGCCCATTGTCCCTCCCCAGCCAGGGAGAAGAAGCCGAGGTCAGGACCCATGCCAGGCTTAGAAAACGCCCAGGCCTGGGGCTCGGCCATCCAACCCTCCTTCCTGGGCAGATGAAGCCTCTGGCTGGCACTGGACATGCCAGGGACACCCTGCAGGTGGCTCCCCACTTGGGGGTCATGGCACCTGTGACCTAGGTCTTCCTCTTCTCAAGCCTTGAGAGGAGGGAGGGTCCCCCGGGCCTTGTTTCCTGCGTTGTCAGGTCAGGTTCGGAGGGGACGAAGGGGTGGGGGGCGGGTCTCACCTTTTTTTGTTCTTTCTTAGAGGGTCCTGCAGGGGGTGGGAGGCCAAGAGTTGGGTGCAAGGTGGCCAGGCCACGGTCCTAGGGCTGCCAAGCCCTTCCTAGGCTCCAACCCCAGACCTGTCCCCACACCAGGCCCCATCTAAAGCCTCTGGCCACCCGCCCTGCAGCCGTTCCCTGGGGGGTGCTGGGCTACCCCAACAAACCCACCCCTCTTCCCTGCTTCGGACAAAGAGCCTTTTGTCAGGGCCCAGTCTGCTGCTCTAGAAGGCCTATTCTGGGATGGGATGGGCTGGGACTTGGTGGTCAGAGGGGCTTGGAGCAGCCCCCACCTTCTGGGGGCACAGACAGAGCCTGAGTCCATCGGGTGGCAGGCCCAGCCTAGAGTGGACTCCCCTGAGGGCAGGCTCCCCCATGCCTGGACGTGAGAACTAGCGGCCCAGGGTGGAGGCCTGGTGTGGCCCATGGCTAGCATCTGGTGGCAGGCACCTGATTCCGATGCCAGCCCTGCTCTGGTGCTGGGGGCAGCCGGCAAACCCCTCCCCATGACACCTCTGCCCCGCTGGAGCCTCTCCACAGCCCCGTGGTCTCTGCCTTCTGCCAAGGGCTGGAGAGCGGGAGTGGGGTCACATGTATCTGCTCCAGACCGGCCCCATGTGGGGGCCAGAGCACTGGGCTGAACCCTGCCCTTACCCAGCCTGCCCTGTAGGCCACCTCACCCGGCCCAGCCCCAGCCTTCAGCTCCTCTCCAGCAGCATCGGGCCAGACACCAGCCTACGAGCAGGCACCGCTCCACCCACAAGGCGAGAGTGACCCCTTCCCAAAACACCTGCTCTGGGGCTACATAACTCCACGGTGTGCAAAGCCACACGCCTGCCATGGTGCCCCAGGTCCTGAAGAAGGGGACTCGGTGGGCAGGAGGACGGGAAACAGGCTCTGGAAACGACCCTGCTCTGGGGCAGGCGCACGCCTGTTGTGACTGGCCCGGATGGTGGTGGCCCCGGAGGGCAAGGCCCAGGCTTGCTGGGAGGCCCCGCTGGACCTCAAATACCCCCGAGTGTCTGGGGAGGGGCAACAAGTGGACAGGGAGGGATTTGAGGAGAAAAACACCCCTTGAGGGTTCAGAGGACAATGGCCAGGTCCCCGCCACTGTGTCCTCGATCACGTGGGCAGTGCTGATTGCTTTCCAACCCCAGGAGGGCACTATGGCCCCGAGGGAGGGCTAGGAGCCTGGTCAGGGGCATGGGACCCTCCTCCCCAGGAACGGCTGGGTCTGGGAACCCATTGTGAGCCACAGACTACGTCTCTGGGGAGGACAGGGGCCGTCCTGTCTGGATGATGCTGTCTGGACCCAGCCCTGTCCCCCTGGAGAGGAAGAGTGGGGGCAGGCATGGGGACAAAGGAATGGGCACCCCTCCTATAGCCAGAGCCCGCAGCCAGCCCTGGGACATCTGGGAGGGACGGTGAGTGTGTGGGGCCATTTCAGCAGCCAAGTGTGTCCCCTGCCTTGGTGGGGAGCCAGGCCTCTTCCAGAGAGCCAGGAGCCCTGAACCCTGGAGTCCACACACTTCCTGCCCACTCTGTAGGGGTAGCAGGCAGTCCCTAGGGCCCCTCCCTTGAAGGACAGGAACATCTCAACAAACACTCCCAGAGCTGCCCAGTTCAGGCCCCCGCACGCAGCCTAATAAGGCAGCAAGGAGCAGCTGCTTGCCCCGCGGCAGTCACGCACCCCTCCCCTGGGCCGTGGCTCTCAGGGCAGCCCAGGCATCCAGCCCCACCCCTGCCTGGGGAGCCTCCCCTTGAAATACCCATGTTAAAATAAGAAAGGCCTTCACACAGCCCATCTCTGACTCAATCCTTCTGTTCAAAGAGCCCTTTCTGGCTGGCCGCCGGCCCACCCAGCATGCCCCATGCCCCAGCGCCTCCTTCCCCTGGCCATCTTCCTCATCCCGAAGACCCCAGCTCCTCCTGGCAGCCCTCCCTGACTGCCTGTCTGCCGCCACCCCTGTGTGCACTCACCTACATAGAAGGTGTTGGGTGCAGGCCGGTCTCCCAGCTCCAGATAGAGGAGGTTGGTGGTCTGTGGGTCATGGCGGAGCCACAGAGCCACACCCAGGATCACGCCTCCAGCCAGCTGGGAAGAGAATGGGGAACAGCGTCACACGCAGCCCAGAGCGCTGCAGGAATGAGCCCACCACGTGCACACCTGCGGCATCTCCACTTGGGAAAGGTGGGGGCCAGGGGCCAGGGCAGGGGGCTGCCCTCTCCAGGCAGCAATATCTCCAGCTATTGGCTCTGCTGGGCTGGCTCTTGAGAAGCCCTGGGTATCAGAGACCATGTGGCCAGCACCTCTGCAGGTGACTCCAGGGCAGGGTTGCCAGATAAGGGGCGGGACAGCTGGTTCAATTTGCATCTCAGATGATGAATACTTTTTTAGTATAAGTGTGTCCCAAATATTGCATGGGATATACTTGTACAAAAAAATAATTCGTTGTTTCTCTAATGTTCAAGGTTAACTGGATGTCCTGTATTTTTATTTGCTAGATCAGGCCAGAGATCGCACCAGGTCCTCCTCCAAGGGGGCAGCCCCACCCCAACCATCCTGAGCCCCTTTGTGGACTGCCCTAGGTGTGCTGGGAATCCCAGGCTGGGGACCCACAGTTCTGCTGCCAGAATGGGGTGGGGATCTGATGCCGCCATCCAGGAAGCTCTAGGGGCTGGGGCCTGTGGCGGTTTGTGGGATAAATCTCTGCTGCTGTATGCCCTGGGAAGGGAAACTGGAAAGACACTGGTCAAGGTAGGCTGTCAGGGAGAGAAGGGCACGTGGCTGGCTCGGGGCTGCAGCTCAGTAGGTGGAGTGGGCAGACTGACGAGGGAGGCCCTCCAGGACTGGGTGCCCTCGTGCACATGACCACATGGCCACTTCTAATGGGAAGGGGGGTCTGCTCTTGAGACTAGGCCTGGGGTCAGGCCCAGACCAGCCCATCCTAAGCACCTGACCAGGCCAGGCATGTGCCCCTGGCTGTCCCCTGCCCACAATGTGCTCCCCCTTGGCCTCAGTGCCTGTCCCACTGGTGGTGGGGGCACCACCTGTCCCTCACTGTCCCTGACATCTCGCACCATGCAGGGCACTTCGCAGACATGCAGTCCCCATGAGTGACCCGTGACCTGAGTCCTGCCTGCCCCCGCCTCCACTCCAGTCACCTCGGCTGCTGTATACACATGGGGGCAGGGCCCCCTTCAGATCCCTTCTGGGGTCCCTCCGCTCCCAGCATGAAGTCCTGGAGACACTGAGCCAGAGCCCCTGACCATAGTGGGAGGCCCACATCCCCGAACAGTCTGGGGGTCAGGCCTTACCTGCCCCCGCCTCCCTGGGAGGACATTAAGAGAACAGCATACAAACCCAGTCCTGGAAGTGCCCAGCCCCCGGGCAGGGACCACCCGGGGAAAGGGTGTGTCAAGGAGCCGGCCTGGCAAAGGGAAAGCGCAGGGGTCGGGGTCCCACATGAGGAGCTGGTGCCTGGCCCTGGCCACGCTGCCCTCATGGGACACCAGGCCCCAAGGGCTTCCTGGAGGAGGAAGCAGGGGGACGCAGACCACCCAGCCCAGAGGGGAGTACCAGGGGCACTGAGGGGCACACTGCCCCGGCTGGCTGGGTAGGCCTGGAGGAAGTGGGCGCTGGCAGCAGAGGCCTGCCACCCCAGCATGGGGTGCCTCTGGACACTGACCCCACCAGACGCAGGGCTACTGGTCAAATGGGGAAGGGAAACTGAAACCTGACACCTGAGCAACCACCTGGGGCCCAGCTCCTGCTCCTGCTCCTGCTCCAGCTCCCTGGCCAAGGTGGTGGTTGCTAGGGGGTGGGGTTGGGTGCTCAGTAGAGTGCGTGTGGGGTTCAGGCCCAGCATCACAGCCCACCCCCAAGGAAAGGCCTGAGCAGCCCTGGGGACGCCCTGGGCAGGCTGGCTCCAGGGCCTCAGCAAGGGAGGGGCAGGGGGTCTGTGGGCACCCCTCACCCCCTGCTGCACTGGGCCTGCTGAGCAATCACTGCTGGGCTCGTACCCGCAAAGGGATCACTGCCAGAGCCCCTCAACCCCCAGCAGGACGGCCAGGGTCCCTCTCCGCACGCCCCCACCCACTGGCCTGGGGCTGCGGTTCCTCGGCAACTCTTCCTGTAAGCCCTGCCCCGGCCCCTCCTGCAGGAGGTGCACCTCGGTTTCCATGCTTTGGTTTGGGGGAGAATGGGACCTGACCTCCCCACCTGGACCCTGTGCCGAGGCTCCTCCTCCCCCTAGAGCAAGTGGAGCAGCATCAGGACCGTCCAGGCCCCGTGCACCTGCGGGCCCAGCCGAGAACAGCCGGACAGCTGGGGTGCTGAGGCGCCCCTCGCATGTGTGGCAAGGCCCTGGTGAAGCCAGGGGCCCGGCTCCCAGAATCCCCCAGGAGCAGACAGCTAGTCGCTCCTCTGCGCCTGTCACACCATGAGGGCGGGACGGCCTGTGGACCATGTGGGGACTGGGGGGGGTGTGGGGGGAGGTGGCACTGAGAGTTGCCGTGGTAACTCTGGCTTCCTCCAGCGGCTTTGAAATTGTTATTAATTCTGTTTTGAAACTGCGGTCCAGAGAGGGCTTCGAGACGTTGCAGGATGGAGAAGCGAAGGGGGCAAGGGGAACCCCCGCCCGTCTCCTCCTCTGTGGTCACAGAGACCTGGTTACAAAGCCTGACTCAGCCACGGAAGCTGAGGGGCCACGGCAGGTGGCCCAGCCTTCCTGAGCCTCAGTGTCCCTTCCCTGCCTCTTCAGCAGTGGAGTGTGGAGCAGCACCTGGCTCAGAAGATGCTCCTTGGTGCTGACCCCACACCACCCTGTCCCGGCTAGGCAGGGGCCCCCCCATCTTCTCTGTGCAGCCCCCAACCTCAAGAAGGGGGACGATCCCCTCTCAGGAGACGATGTCCTAACAGAAACGGGATGAGAGCAGGCTGAACCTACCCCCCACCCACAGATGGTGGGGCTGCAGGCAAAGTCACCGCTTCTTGCTGTTCTGGGAAGGGGGCTTCCCATCCAGACTCTAGGGCTGAGAGGGGAGGCTGCCTCCAGACAGGAGCCCCTTCGCCCCAGGCCCTCATGGCCGAGGGGTAACAAGGAAGCTAGTCCCAGTCTATGGGGCTGGGAAGAGCCGGCACTAAATCCACAAAGGATCCCTGGCACCTCTAATTGGGAAGAGCAGCTAGGCCAGGAGGGGACGGGAGAGGCAGCTGGGAATGGGGGACCCCAGCCTGCCCACCCAGTCATCCCATGGCCACCAAGAGCAGTCAGAGCTTCCCGGAAGCGGAGCAGGGGACGGGGAAGGAACACCCAGCTGGCCACCTCCCCAGGACCTCCCCAGCTCCTGAACAAATCACTGCGGGGCAGGCCAAGTTGTCTGGTGTCCAGCGGGGGCCTTGAGTTGGAGCCAGACAACAACAGTGGTGGCGATGGTCACCCCCAGTTTCCAGATAAAGAAACCGAGGCAGTGGGGAGGGGAACACTCCCCTAAGGTCACCTACCAGAGAGTACAAAGGCAGCTCTGAGGTCCCATGTCTGATCATGGGAAAGGCAGTGGGAGGGGTTGGAAGGGTGCCCCTGCCCCATAACGACCCCAGGAGGGCAGGGCTGGAGGTACCCGAGGCTCAAAAATGTGAAAGGAACCTGCTCTTCAAAGGCACCGTGGCAGCATGAAGAGCTGAGCACAGACAGGGCCGTGCAGGTGTCTGGCAGAGGACATGTGGCTGTAACAGAAAGAAAACCAATAGACCAACTTGTAAGGGACGGGTGACAGATGCAAACACACTTCACCAAAGACACGCACCGCCGGCAGATAAGAGACGAGAGGAGGCCGCACATCATCCGTCACCTGGGGACACCAAACAGAACCGCAGGAGCGACCCTGACAGCCCCTAGGCTGGCTACCGTCAAAGACAGCAACCAGGTCAAAGCACTGCTGAGGACGTGGAGTGACAGGAGCCCTTGGCCACGGCGGGTGGGATGCAGAACTGTGCTGCCATGTTGCAAAACAGTTGGATGGTTTCTTGGAAAATTAAACCCACACCCACCTGAGGACCCAGCCGTCCCACACCCATGTTATTGACCCAAAATAAAAGGGCACAGGTTTCCACAACCCTGCACATGAATGTTCCTGGCAACTCTCCTCGTAACAGCCCCAAACTGCAAACAGCCCACACGTCCTGACAGGCAAACGGAGGGACCCTGGGGTCTGTCCTAGAGTGATCCTGCAGGAACAGACCACAGACACAGCCGATGACATGGCTGAGCCTCCCAACAATTACACTGGATGAAAGAAGGCAGGACAGCAACAGGGGCTCGTGCCTCCTGATGTCATCTGTATGAAGGAGCAAGACAGGCAATTACACACAGCGGTTGCCCTGGGATGGCGGAGGACAGCGTGGGAAGGGACAGCAAGGAGGGGTGGCAAGGGCCCCAAGATGCTCTGGAGCTGTGGGTATGTCCACTCTCCTGATGGTGGTGATGGCGTCACAGAGGTACAAATATATCAACAAGTACCAAGTTGTACCCCTTAAATATGTGTACACCTAAATAAAGCTGTTTAAAACTCCACACACCCAAATCCCTGAAGACCGAACTCCTAAGGGGTAAGTGTTGCTTCTGGGTCTCAGAGGACCCAGGCTGCCACCACGGTGCTCACTCCCTACCAGGCAGTGTGAGACCCTCCGGGCACGCCAGGCTGCCTGCTGGCGGCAGAAACTTTGAAAATGCCCAGGTCTTTTCTGTGGGTCCAAAGTGGGAGACTGGACCAACTGCGAACTCATAAGGCTGGGGGTGGCTAAGCCCCTGCTGCTGGGCAACCTCAGGCCCACCTCCGCCGCTCTGTCATCTGATGTCCTCGTCTGCACAACGAGAAGCAAGCACGGAAGTGAACGCCAGTGAGCTGCGCAGTGCCACGCTGCGGTACCTGGCTCTTGACTCGCCATGGTTGTCATCACTGCTGGGTCGGGTGAATGACAGCATCTGGAATGTCTTCAGGCATCTCTCTCCCCAGAGACACTCCATGCAGGGTCACCAGACACCCCTCTGCTTGGGCCGGTCGGTTGCAAGCGGTGCTGCCACCTGCGCCCACC